CCACCCTACCTCGTAGCAACCTCATAAGGAGACTCGTGCTGCCCCTCTGGTTTCTTCTCTCCCAACACGTAGCCCACCGCAGCACTACCAGAGGCACCACCCAAATATTACTTCAAAACTTAGAAACAAGCACAAAATCTTTATCAGTGGAGCTTAGGACACTTTGCTCTTACAAACTCCAAATATACCTGGGTTCTTTACACACAGCACCTATATTTTCCCAGTAGAAGCTAAGAACTCACTATCTAGACACCGGTAGAATTCTCACTTCCCATACAAGAGACCTGTGTCCCCACCAGTGCGCCTCAAGTCTACTATTGAAGCTTTGTGTGTTGGTATGCTGAACAGATGTCAGCAGAGCTACCAGACTAAGATAGACTAGGAAAAAAGGTCTGGCAGATCCACTTTGGAAACATCAACCAGTAAAACCCGTACAGATCAGAATGGTCAAATTGTGCATGCTGTGACTAGAGTCTGGGCCAACTCCACAGCAATGAGCAAGAGAGAGAGAAGAGCTGAATTCACCAACAGAAACCCTCTTTCTGTCCACTTCCAGTTTTGTGCCAAAACAAAAAACACAGACTCACTGTCATTGAGTCAGTGCAAACTCACAGACTCTTCAGTCCCTGTGAGTGTCCAAGAGTAATTCTTTATGGAGTAGAATGCCCTGTCTTTCTCCTGTGGAGCAGCCGACCTTTCAGATCACAGCCCAACTCTACCACCACACCACAGGCGCCAGTTGGTCACAGGCTGACTTTAATGGCACATAGTCAGTGTTTATTCAGTACCTAATGCAAGCAGAGCACCGAGCTAAGGATTTTTATGTCATTTAACCTTCATGGCAACCCAGTGATGTATATACCTTTTTGGCAAGTAAAAAAAAAACCAAACAATTCAGTGACTTAGCTCACAATCACACTGAGCAGTGAACACATTCATGATCAATAAACAAAAAAACCCACTACCATCTAAATGAGTCCCATTTAGAGTGACCCTAAAGAGCGTTTGTGAAACTAAATCTTTATAAGAGCAGCAGCAAGGTGGGTTTGAATTGCCAACCTTGTGGTTAGCAGCCCAATACCTCCCCACAGATACTCCAGGGCTCCTTACATGATCAATAAACAAAAACTCACTGTGGTTGAGTGGGCCCTGCCTCATAGTGACCCTATAGGTCAGGGTAGAACTGCCCCTGTCAGTTTCTGAGACTCAAAAAAAAAGTGGAAAGTCCTGTCTTTCTCCCTCAGAGGGGCTAGTGGTTTCACACTGCTGACCTTGTAGCTAGCAGCCCAACACACCCCAAAGCACCTCATGATCAATAGTAAGACCAAGTCTCACAGTTATCAATAACTAGTCGATGAGTGTTGGGAGAATTAGTTCTCTTTGAGTTATCTTTTCAAAAAAAATAATGTCATTGGACCTCTTACAGCTCTCATAACAATCAATCCATACATCAATTGTAGCAAGCACATTTGTACATATGTTGCCATATCATTTTCTGAATATTTTCTTTGTGTTTGACCCTTGATATTAGCTCCTCTTTTTTCTCTTTTATTTTTTTTAATCTTAAAATGGAAATAAACTACTTCTGGCTGGTTTCACAAAGTTTGATGGTGTAAGGTGTATATAGGATCTACAGACCCACTGCAGTTGTGTCAACTCATAGCAACCCTATAGGAAAAACTAGAGATCTGCCCCACATGGCCTCCATGGCTGTAACTCTGTACTGAAGTGCACTGCTACATCTTTGTCCAGTAGAGAGGCCAGTGGCTAAGAAACACTGATTTTTTGAGTTAGCGATTTATCACTCCACCACCACGGCTCCTAAAAAGGGTCTATAATGTGTGTGATAGGAACAAATTAACTGGTGTTTTCCCCTCCATCCTCCCCCCCGTAAATAGAACAGCTAAGGTTTTTAATTCATGTCTCTGATTCCCAGGCCAGGTTTCTGTATTTTTCAGTATGTGCCTGGAATCTGGTGAGGTTGGGGAATTAAGCTGGCATGTTTTCCATGGGAGGACATCTAAAAAGGCTTCTCAGAGACTGTTCTGTGCAGACTGGTTAGGTTGCCTGGTCTGCTTTCATAGCCGGCTGTGCATTTAATCTATTTGGGAACTATGAGTTTGGTTCATTGGTTATAGTTCTAATCAAATTCAGCTTAGCTGCCTAGGAATTCATCAGGAAGACCAAAAGTGTCATTTGATTCAGTAGCTTAGCCCTACGCATACATGATAAGTTCTGGAATAATGATCATACGAACACGAAGGTTATTAGGGCTGTCTTTCTGGCAGTGCCACAGAGCGACCTTCTGCATAGCAGAGTGAACACTGCCCGGTCCTGCGCCATCCTCACAATTGTTAGCATGCTTGAGCCCATTGTTGCAGCCACTGTGACAGTGCATCTCACTCGGTCTGCCTCCTCGTCACTGCCTTCCTACTTTACCAAGCACGGCGTCCTTTTCCAGGCACTCCCCGCTCCTGATAATGTATCAGAAGCCTGTGAGACAAAGTCTCGCCGTCCTCAATTCTAAGGAACACACTCTGGCCGTACTTCCGAGAGATGTATTTGTTCTTTTAGTCCATGATACTTTGACTTTTCTTCACCAGAACCATAATTCAAATACATCGATTCTTCTTTGCTCTTCCTTGTTCATTGTCGAACTTTCACATATATATAAGGCGATTGAAAATACCATGGCTGGGGTCATGCTCTTCTTAGTCCTCAAAGTGACATCCTTGCTCGTTAACACTTGGAAGAAGTCTGTGCAGCAGATTTGCCTGCAACACATCATTTATTGCTTGACTGCTGCTTCCATGCACATTGGCTGTAAATCCAAGCAAGATGAAATCCTTGACACCTTTCTTTTCTCTGTGTCTCATGCTGCTACCTATTGGTCCAGTTGTGAGGATTTTGGTCTTCTTTACAGTGAGTGGTAATCCATTCTGAAGGCTGCGATCCTTGATCTTCATCAGGAGGTACTTCACTTTCAGAAAGCAAGATTGTGTCATTAGCATATCACAGGCTACTGATAAGTCGACCTCCAATCCTCATATTGCATTATTCATATAGTCCAGCTTCTCTGATTATTTGCTTAGCCTAAAGATAGAATGAATATGGTGAAAAGTTACAATTCTGACACACAGCTTTCCTGATTAACTGTGCAGCATTCCTTTTCTGTTCAAATGACTGCCTCTTGGACCATATACAGGTTCTGCCCGAGCACAATGATGTGTTCTAGAATTCCCATTCCTCTTGTTGCTGTTCATAGTCCATGATCTGCACAATCAAATGCCTTCACATAGTCATAAAACACAAGTAAACTGCTTTCTGGTATTCTCTGCTTTCAGACAAGATCCATCTGTCATCAGCAATGATATCCTTCCTTCCAAGCCCTATTCTGATTCTAACTTGAGTTTCTGGGGGCTCCATGTCGATGTACTGCTGCATTGACATTGTTGAATGATCTTCAACAAATTGTACTTGCATGTCAATGATTTTGTTTGGAATGGGTACAAATAGGGATCTCTTCCACTCGTTTGGCCAGGTGGCTATCTTCCAGATTTCTTGGCATGGACAAGTGCATGCTTTCAGTGCTTCCTTCATCAACTTGCTGAAACTGTTCCATTTGTCTTCTATCAATTCCTAGAGACTTGGGGTTTTTTGTTAATGTCTTCAGTGTAGCTTGCACTTCTTTCAGTACCATTAGTTCCTGATTACGTGCTTCCTGGTGAAATGGGTGGTTGTACACTAGCACTTTTTGGTACTGTGAGTCTGTGTACTCTTTCCTTCTTCTTTTTTTATTAAATACTTTTATTGGGGGCTCTTACAGCTCTTATCACAATACATTGTGTCAAGCAATACATTGTGACACATACATTGTGACACATCCATTGTGTCAAGCACATTTGTACATGTTGCCATCATCATTTTCAATGCATTTTTCTTTCTACTTGAGCTCTTGATATGAGCTCCTCATTTTTTACCCTCCCTTCCCTACCCTCCCTCCCTCATGAACCCTTGATAAATTATAAATTATTATTTTCATATCTTACATTGTCC